TCCAGCTATGAACTCTCTTAGCCACTCGATCACTTCTAATCCTTCCATCAATATTGTACCCTTTTTCGCTTCCCTTACCTTCAGGCTTACCTTCCCCTTGATTCTCATCTCTTCGAACAGGAAATTTTTTGCTTCTATCTTCAAGGATCTCCTCCACTGACCTGCCTGCACGAACTCCATTCCCTTTCTCTTCACATTGATTGCTAATTTTTTGAGACTCATAGAAAGGGCATATTCTAGAAGCCTAATAAGGGGATGGAGGATGGGGAGAGAACAAGTACTGATTACTCACCTACAATTTGTTGATGATGCTATTCTATTCCGTGAAGGGTGAGATTATTTGAGTTAGGAATATAAGAATGGTGGTGCAAACCTTTGAAAAAATGTCCAATCTAAAAGTTAATTGGATAAAAGTTGCTTGTTGGGAGTGAATATGGAGGAAAGGGCGATAACAAAAAGTGCAAATATCTTGGGTTGTACAGTTCCCAGTGGCCTATGACCTATTTGGGTTTACCATTAGGAGATAATCCTAGAAGAAGTAATTTTTGGGACCTTGTTGTAGAACGGTTCACTAAGAGGTTGGCCTCGTGGAAGAGCAATTATTTGTCCCTAAGAAGAAGAATCACGTTAATCAAATCTACTTTGGCCAATCTACTTGTTTACTACTTGTCAGTGTTTAGGACTGGTTGGGATAAGTGGAAGCATGGTAAGTTGGGAGAAGAAGGATCACATGGTAAGTTGGGAGGTGGTGTGTAAAAGTAAGAAATATGGAGGATTGGGTCTTGGGAACATCCAAGAGAGAAACATGACACTGTGGGGCAAGTGGTTGTGGAGATTTCCATTGGATAGAGACAAGTTGTGGGCTAAGGTGATAGTTAGTATTTATGGACTTACAGTTGATGGTTGGGACTCTGTAACTTAGAGTAGGGCTACAAGAGCTTTTCCTTGGGAAGTCCATTTGTGATACCTTACCTCTCCTCTTACCACATGTCAGGTATGGTCCCAGATTTGGAAATCTTGTCAAATTCTAGGATCATGTTTGGGTGGGCAACCTATCATTAAAGTCACAATTCCCCTCCCTTTATGCCGTTTCCAACCATAGGGAGGAACCTATATCCAACTAATTATAATGTTGTGTGTAATTGGGATTTGGGTTTCAGAAGAGGGCTTCATGATTTTGAAATCAATAGTGTCATAAACCTACTACAAAGCTTGGAAGGGGTTTGTTTGGATGTTGGTAAAAGGGATAAGAGAATTTGGACCCAGTCACCCTCAAGCATCTTCACATGTGGTTCCTTTTTCTTATCCCTTATTCATCTGAGCGAAAGTCAGGGGTCTTCCTTCTCATTTAGAGAGATTTGGAGTAAATGTATCCTGCTTAGGGTGGGTAGTTTGTGCTGGGAAATGCATCTGGAAAGAATTAATACTTGTGGGTTACTGTAAAGAAAAAGACCTAATTGGTTTCTTTCCCCCCATTGGTGCACCCTTTGCAAAGTTAATGATGAGAATTTCTATCACTTATTAATCTCCTATCCTTTTTCCTATTCAATTTGGGAATGACTCTCTTCTTTGTTTGGATGTAGGTGGAAGCCTTCTCCCAATGTACAAAGCTTATTTTCTCCTACCTTCGTAAGTTGGTCAAAGGGGGGAAGAATATTCTGGAGGTGCACAAGGGCAGTGGTTTGTTGGACAATTTGGAAAGAGAAGAACCAGAGAATATTTCTTGAAAAGGAAAGAAGCAAAGAAGCTATCATTGAAGCTATTACCATCAAGGTGGTCCACTGGGTGAAGTCAATGAATCTTTTCAAGGATGTATATCTCTGGTGGTGAGGTGATGAGAAATTGGAGAGAGGTAGCTATTTCTTCCCCTTTTATGGGGGTGGTCACTCCTGTTTGGTTCCCACCCCCTAGAGGTTTTATTAAGCTCAACTTCAACGGTAGTAATGAAGGCAATCCGGGCCTGTCTGGCATAGGAGTGTTTAGGAATGAGGAGGGAAATGCCATTGCATTCTACTCAGGCCCAATTGGAATCGGGACTCCTTAAGGGCTGAAATTATGGCTGTTATGAAAGGGATTCAAAAGGCTGAGGAGCTGAATGTAAGGAAGCTGTTGATTGAAGGCGAATCAAAGCTTGTAATAAGTTTGGCTCCCAAAAGAAGAGGAGGCTAGATGGTGGTGCTACATATATGAGAAGAGGAAAGCCATTAAACTGTTACAAGGGATAGAGGTGAATTGCAATTGGGTCAGAAGAGACTCAAATGCCTTTGCTGATACACTAGCTAAACAAGGGGTGGGAAGGAATAGTTTATTTTGGGCTGTGTTGTAACTATATTTTATGTTGGGGAGGGCTAAGAGTGTTTTCCCCTTCCTTTTTTTCCTTTTTCATTGTACTAAACTTCTTATTTAATGAAATTATTTCTGTTATTGATAAAAAAAAATATTCAAGGTTCATGACGTTTGTCTAGGGTTGGCCCTTAACCCCACCCAACCCACCTAATTTATGTCCATGTCTTATCAGAGAGGGTCGAAAGAGTTTCAAAAACATTTAATTCAAAACAAGGGGTTTAATGGGAGGAAGGGAAATATTACAAACATTGACTATTGAAGAGAGAGGGGGAGAGAATTAAGAATAGTTTTATTAGAGAAGAGTAATGATAATTTTAATAGAGAAAATTAAGACATAAAAAGAATTTTATGAGGAGACATAAGGGGATGTGTTTTGATAGGTAACAATAAGTATCATTAAAAATGCAAAATAGACAAGTACAAGGCTCCTAAACCAAGCCAAGCCTCATTAAGAAATTAGGTTAGCCCAAAATAACTATGCCCTGTACACCCCTTAGCTAAAACATCTGCCACTGAATTTGCTGACATGCTGATCCATTTAAAATTAGCCTCAAACTCACCTGCTAGCCTTCTTACTTCCTTTATTTGTTGTCTGTAGAGCCAAGGCCCGTCCCTGTTGTTGGCCAACCAACCTATCACCAATGCTGAATCACTTCGCACTTCTAAAAATCTCAAGCTCAAATGCTTTGCTAACTTTAATCCTTGCAGAGGGGCAAAGAGTTCTGCTAGTAAAGAATCTGAAACCCTGATTGGACCAGAAAAAAGTGGCACAACTGCACTCCTACCATCTCTGAGAACTCCTCCTATATCCTATGGACTTGGGTTTCCAAAGGAGCTGCCATCAAAATTCAGCCTAAAATTGTTATTTCTAGGTGGAATCCACTCCTCTTGTACGGTTGCTTTCTGAAGAGAGGAAGCTGCTATTATTCCCTAGCCTCTAAAATTTTCCAGTGTAATCATTAAAGATTACATGTGAGACCTGTGTGAGAGACCCATGGGCTCCATGAACTCCTGTTTCTATTATATATAGATATTTGTCTTATTTTATATTATATAAAGCATAATATTTATTAAATACATATATTATATATCATATAAACGAATAGTTGTGGACTGGCTAAAGAAGGGGGAAGGAGTGTCTTGGCATCTAAGGAATGATCTCAGACGGTTCAATTGGCTTTCTAAGGACATGTTCATTCAAGTTAATTGGGTAAGAAGGTCTGCTAACAGCATGGCGGATGGACTAGCTAAGCAAGGGGTTCAGAGACAATCTATGTTTTGGGCTCAATTGTAACTCTGGGGGATTTTGACTCTGTCGAACCTATTTGTTTATTCCACTTCTTGTTGTTCTGTTTTCTCATAATTTTAATAAATTTCTTTCTGAGTTACTGATCAAACAACATATAATACAATATCATGTATACGTAATTTAATATATTTAAAGTCATAGTCCTGGATAGGAACCAGGCCTGGCCTGGCCCAGCCTATGATTGCCCTTACGAATAATGAAGAGGTGGAGTCCCTGTTTTGGTCTTAATTAGAAAGTTGGAGTGAATAAAATGAGTTAGAAAAAGAAAGCAAATAAACTAAGCTGATGCTTTGTTTTGCTTAAGGAAATTGAGATAGAAGTAGAAGAGGCCTCTTTTGAAGAATAAATGATGAAGACTATTAGTTGAAGGCTTGAAGCTCTATTGCAGTACACATTACCTTTGCATTGCTGTTGTAGTTTGTCCTAAACCCATTTAATTTCTCTCTAAATTGAAAATTGGTCTTTTGTGATGCCATTTTACCTTTTTACACATATGATATAGTTTATCTGTACTAGACTTAAAATTGGTATGCATGCATAAGGCAACCCTGAAGAAATTCATTATCATATGACGATAAAAGAATGCTATACCACCTAGGTGTCACCTAAATGCCTGCTGAGGCATCACCTTGTTGGCAAATATGAAACAATCAAGAGTTCAATATTCAGGCATAACACAAGTTTCAAACATACAAAGTTGTTTCTTTTTGCATCTCTTATTTGATGTATTAAAAAACTATTACTTAATTCTGTAGGATTCGTATAGAAATGGTCCTTTTGAAGTCAAATGTGCTTAGTGAAGTTCAGAGGTCTATGCTTGATGGTGGTCTCCGTGTTGAGGATCTGCCTGTTGATCCCTCTCCACGCCCTGGATCCTTGTCTCCTCATTTGGGGCAGGACAGACTTACAACTGAATCCCCCGAGATATTCAAAGAGGCATGCCTAGGCATTGGTGGTCCTGCTGGTCTTTGGCATTTCATTTATAGAAGTATTTACCTGGATCAATATGTATCTTCAGAGTTCTCATCACCATTGAACAATTCCAGTCAACAGAAGAGGTAAAACTGCTTGGATCTTCATAGTAACTCTTCTTGACATTTTCTTCTTCTGATAAATGGGCTAAGCATTGTAGACTTTCTGGTTCTATGGTATTTGTAGGATGACAGAATTCTTTTGTTGCAGGTTATATAGAGCTTACCAAAAGCTCTATGTCTCCATGCATGATAAAGGAACTGGGCCCCATAAAACTCAGTTCAGAAGAGATGAAAATTATGGTATAATGTCCTTTCTTTGATATGTAAAAGATTTCTTTATATGATATGTTTTCTAGACATGATTTAACACCAAACTTTTTGACTTATTTATGTTAAAATTGATTTTTTGTAATGAGGGATAAGGGTATCATGAAATATAGCATTACCTGGTTCTCTTGAACAATGGACTTTGCCATTCCTAAATTTAGGATTGTTTTTTGAATCTCATGGATAGGAAAAAGTAGGGTCCTTAAACTGCTGTTCAGTATTGTGATGAGTGAATTGTTCTTTTAGCAAAAGGTACGAGGAGCATCACTAAGGAAGTTGATGAAATAGAAGTCATATGTTTTCTTCTTCTTAGATACATATAATTGATGTGATATGGTTTAGTTCTATTGGTTAATGTTTATTTCTTAGTTTCATTTGCTTATTTTGATATCTCGTCATTTGTTCAAGCTCAACTTAAATGTAGTGCTGATGATGTTGTTTTGGGTCAGTTCTGCTATGCTGGGTCACTCAGGACTTTGAACTTTATGCTGCTTTTGATCCACTTGCAGACAAGGTTTGACTCTCTCTCTCTCTCTCTCTCAAATTATTGTTCTTTTACATTATATCAGGTGAAGCATGTTTGGATGTGGACCAAATTGTATGAAATGACTGAGAACAAGATAGTTGTGTCTATGTTTTTGAGAAGTTTTGTTATTTGGGTCAATAGCATATATGTAAATGCTCAAGTCATCTACACAGCATATGTGTTAGTCTGGGTGCCTGATTGACACCTGATACCAGCCCACCATGTGCTGGGATTGGGCTGTATTTTCAGCCAGTAGACCATGGATGGGACTAACAGGCCATAATTACTATTAGGGATTGCTAAATTTTATTTTGAATTTAAACATAATGTTGATGTAAAATTGAAACCATAATTTTGATTGAATAGTATTGCCCATAAATGGTGTTTTCATATTTTGCAACTTTAAAAAACTAAAAATGTTAATGTATTATCTTTTATGGGATGGGCTTGATGTCTGAGTTAATGCTTGAGTTGGGTCCTGGCTTTGTAAAAAATTCTAAGGCACCTCGGTTGCATTCTTTAGGCCTGTGGGATGGACCTAGGCTTAGCACAGCCTGGCCTAGTTGCACCCCTATATTTAAGGATCTTATTGAAAGAAAAGTTACTCCAATCAATAATTCCTATTCCATCTTAAATAAGCATTTTCTTTTCTTCAATGGATTCTATTCCAATTGAATGCCCTCAGTATATGTTGGATCAAGAATATATGAGCCATAATTCTGGTCCTATTTATGGGCATCCTAACACCTAAAGACCCAGATTTATGACAAACATGCCACAAGGTTCCATTAGGGTCCTTGGGGATTTTCTTACCTATCATGTATACTGTGCACAGAAATATCAGCATTTGCTGATAATGGTAAGGGTAGAACATAGGCTAATGAGTATGCAGGAATTCAAGGGTATTTTCATGGATTCCATATTTATGAGGCTGTGCTACAATGGTTAATTTTACTTACAACAAACTAGGGGCAAATTGATGCTCAATTTGATGGATGTATCCTTGGAAATTGGAGGGGAAATGTTACTCAGCCACAGTGGGGCATCTGGTGAATGAAACTCTCTGAGGGCTGAAACATTAGCACTCCTATAAGGGCTCAAATTGGGCTATTTGGGATTGGGCCTAATAAGAAGGCAAATAAAACAAAAGAAGTGTCTTAAGAGCAGCTATTGGTGATACTGAGTAAGCGAGAGTCTTGATGAGGTGTTAAACTTGGAGTCTGCTGTTGTCTTGTTGGTTGTTGGGGTTTGATGTTTCTATTTCTTTTGGTTTGGTGAGTTTGTTCTTGGGGTGTGTGTGTGGTGTTGCCTTGTCAGTCTTGTGTCAATTGTTGGGGTTTGGTGCTTCTATTTCTTCCCTTTGGTTTGCACCTAGACTAGAGGTGGTAGTAGTCCAAATTCTATGGTCAGGTTGAGAGGTATCAAGAAACACCTTCCAAAGAGTTAAACAAATTTACGACACCAAGGTTTCAAACTACCCATGCCTCTCAAATTGAAATCCCAACTTCACCCTAGATTTCAGATGGAGACATGGTAGAAACAAATTTGCGTTTGTAGGAAGAAAGTAAATACTTGGAAATGTATCCTCCAAAGGCCATTCCTCTCACCAATCTTCCCAACATCGTGTCCTATCCCCAAAAGGAACGTCATGTCTTGTGTCACAAGAAGACAAGGCAGCTGAATGCCTTTCCTTGGGAAAGGCTAAAGATTCTCTAACAGCTGAAACAGCATCTCAACCGTTTGCCAACATTCCATGGATGGTTTGATCAAAGCGTGCCATGGTTTGTTTGAATCCAACAAGAATCTCCACAACCATTTTCCCAATAATGAGTTCTTATCAATTTTCCCATTCCTAGTTCACTTCCCTCTTCTTCTTGTTCTTTTTTCTGTCTCTATTTGCATCGTAAAGAAGAATTTGAAAATAGGATGTATATGTTGGAATAATAATGACCCAAACAGGATTTATGTAGCTAGCCCCTTATAGCCCCTTAAATGATGATGATGATGATGATGTTGGATGTACAGAAAAGGTACAACTCCCCTAGTTCCTTTTAATAAAAATATATGTAGGCATGTAGCTATTGTTTTGGAATAAAACTGATCCAAACATGACCTTACCTGATCATCATTGTATTCATCTCTCCTATAGATAATCTGATGTAAAGGGTCTTTGTGGATATATCTCTCGTTAAATTAATGGGACAACCTAGACACTCCTCCAGTTGTTATGCTCTTTTTCCATCTTTATCACGCATAGAAGGAACTGCCCAAAAAGCAGAAAATTGCACTTGTTCATTCTTCTGATTTTTATTGGAGATTGTTTGACATGTTTGAATGGAATTGAAATGCAGGCTTTGGCTATAAAGACTTGCAATCGAGTTTGTCAATGGGTGAGAGATGTGGAGAATGAGATTTTCTTGCTGGGTGCAAGCCCTTTTTCATGGTGATTTTTGATCAATAATAGTATGTATATACAGTGTATGCTAGTGCCGTCTTTCTAATAAAAGCTCCGAGTATATAATTGTCTTGCATTAAACTTTCAAATTACATATTTATTTCTTCAGTTCCTGCATCTTGATTGGTAAAATGAAAAAAAAAATGGTTACACAGAATTTATTCTTCTGTTAAAGTCAGCTGATTGAGCTTTTATCCACTTTTTGATATGGTATAACATTTTTGAAGTGTTAAACATTTTGCAATATCTATTTTGTGGAACAAGCAACGCCTGATTTGCTGCTAGTGCTGGAGATACACGGCTGGAGACTGGAAGTATGGTGATGATTCCCCTTAAGTCCTTAACTGGCACGGAGGCACCTATCCCGCAAGCAGTTTATTTTTTTAATTATTTATTCTTCAGTTTCCTGATTTCCGGGAAATCTATTACTTTCGGATGTAGAAATGTCACACAATTCATAATTCTTATAATTTTTTAGTTTTCTGGATTTCGACGTTGACATTTCGAGGGATCCATCAGTTTTAGCAAGTAAACCCATGAAAATGCATAGGCCGAAGTTGAATAGAAATTTAGTTGGATTTGTGTTGGCAAATTTGGGTTTTTATCAGTTTGAGTCCAAGCTAGGTTCTATTAGGGTTGGGTTGGCTCTTAACCCTTGTTTTATTAAGAGTCAAAAGGTGTCAATGGGGATTTAAGGGGAAAGAAGGGTTTTAATGGGAGAGGGGAAATGTTACAAATTTACAATCATTAACTATTGGGGGAGGGAGTTAAGAATGATTTATTAGAGAATAACGGTCGGTCTTATCAGGGTTGTTAAGAGTCAAAAGGGGTCAATGGAGATTTAAGAGGAAAGAAGGATTTATTGGGAGAGGGGAAATGTTACAAACTTACAATCATTAACTATTGGGGGAGGGAGTTGAGAATGATTTATTAGAGAATAGCGGTAGGTCTTATCAGGAAAAAAAAAAAAAAAAAGGTAAATTGTTGAAACCTTCCCTGAAGTTTGGTAATTGCAATCACCCTGAACTTTCTGACACAGTTGTAAGTAGATCCCCTCTTAGTATCCTCTAACAAGAGGCACAAAAAAGCCTAAAATACCTATACAGTTACTTTTGACTAAATGTTTATTTTTCAAATTTTTTCTTCATATATTCCAAACCTCTTCCCATATCAATCACTCAAATGTAAAACTACAACTTTATACTTCCTTCTTTTTTTGTTGTTAATAAAGTTTGTATTTTCATGTAGAAATCAGTCTCGGTAGTAATTGTACGAGTATTTTGGACATTTACCTACCTTTTATTTGAGGATTTTAGCAAAGGGGGTCTACTTGTAACATAGGGGATTTACTTGCAACTATGTCAGAAGGTTCAGGGGATGTTTCAATAATTTAATTAAAAAATTAAGACTTGAGAGATTTTTATTGTAGCTTATAATATAATTTAATTAAAAATAGATAACCACGTGTGAAAGATGAGAGGAGTAGGAGAGCGTAAGCTCTGTGGTTAGAGGACACCTCATCTCCCTTCTTTCCTCTTTCTAATAAAGTTACAGATGGTAGAATATTATTTAAACCCCCTAAATTTTGGCCGAAACTTCCCTTGCTTTTTAGAAATAGGTTTAAGATATCCCTTATCACATGTGCTTTGCACAGACTTGTTTTTACATGGACTAATAAAATGCTGTTAAACTATTTTTGAAAATTTTCATAAATTAGGAAATACCATCCCATTGCAAATTTGAATTATGTGGAGACCAAAATGCCTTTCATCGTGCCTAGTCAAATGGAATAAACAACTGTATACCAATTTGAAGTATCACCTCAAACATTTTAGGTAGAAACAACACAACCGAAGGTTATGTTTGATTTGATAGAAAATAAGAGAGAGAGTTGAAGGGAAAGTTCTTAAGGAATTTCCGAAATTTTGTTAAGAACTTTTCCTCAGCTTTCTGTTTCTTATTTTCTACCAAATCAAATGCAGCATTAGATAAATCTTACGTGGGTTCTAACTTCTGATTCAAATGGTTCGAGTTCTGGAGATGGTGTGGCCAAAATTCAAAGTATGGATACACCAAATGCACATGAACCCACCGTTTGGATAGATTTTTATTATTGTACTTTTAAAAAGCACAACCGTTCATGCTTATGGTTTCCGGTGGTTTGGCGGCCTAAGATTAGCAACAGTGGTCCAACTCCAACAGCAACGAGCAGAGCTATGACCGAGAGTTTTATTGGAGGATGTCTCACATGATCACCAGTTCACACAAAAAACAGAAGCACTATTTTGTCAAAAGCACAAAATATGAAAAGCCAACTTCATGCTTTTGAGGGTTTTCATACTTTTAAAAAGAATGAAAGCAGAAGTATAAAGTATACAATGCAAATGCTATATTATACTTTTTACTTTTTAACTTTCAAATGTACGAAAGTACTTTACAAAAGTCAATCCAAACAGGGGCATGTACTGGGTGATCCAACAGCCTATAACTTTTAAAATATATATATATATAGTTGTTAGAGGAGTTGGTCTTAGACCCATGGTTTTAAAAAACGACCCGGAGACCGAACCGGTCAGGAGTCTGGTTATCAGGTCGAATGGTCTGACCATTCAAACCGAACAGATGGCCCATTTTGACAAAAAAAATTAAAAAAAAAAACAAAAAACGGTCAAAACCGTTTGAGCGTTAACCGCCCAAGTCAGTGGTTTGCTGATCAAAATCAACGGTTTTGGGCAAATTTCTGGTTTTGGGGAAAACCGAAATCGGTCACCTGACCGGTTCCCGGTTTTTCTGGTCCAACGTCCAGTCCGGTCCGGTTTTGAAAACCATGCTTAGACCTGCCGACATGTTTCAACAGCCTATAACTTTTTTCTAGTTTTTGTTTTTTCTTTTTTTTTTCAGAAGTGATCAGAGTGGATGGTCTTAGACCTGTCTACCCCCTTAAAAGTATTAGGGTGGATGGTCTTGAGCAGTGGGGGTGGCCATGTGGGAACTTGAGACAGGTCAAGATTAGGGATGCAAGTTGGACCTAACAAATTTTAAAGTATCAAATTGGAAAATTAAAAGAATATTAGAAAGACAATTTTAAAAGATGTATTGTGATATACTATAGAAATTTTATGCCTATGGTGGAAAAATTAAGATATGTATGGATATGTTTAGAAAAACTCAAATAATCACAAAATATGTAACGATAACAATTAACACCAAATATAAGTTTTAGATGATCACAAAGTAGCTATATACACATACTTTAATAGTTTATATGAAGTATAAATTATCAAGATGCACTCGGTAAACATTGAAAAATGAAGAACTAAAATATACATGTATATATCTCAGTTCTAAAAAAACTTATACCAAAAAGATATTATGTCATGTGTAATATGTAATACCACAAAAAAGCCTTGAATTCCTTGTACATTTTATACCAAAAAGATATTATGGGTTAGGGAAATTTAATGGCGTGTGAGAAAGTCAATAGAAAACTTTGAATTTAATTTGTTACCTAAATTATTCCATCAGAGTATTGGCTGATGCCGTAGATTTGGGTGAAATAAAATTGAGTTTTGGTCATGTATTCTCAAATACACATTGGCTTGTATTGGCGGATACATATTAATGCTTTAATCCATGGGGCCAGGTTAAGTCAGGTTGAGCTCAATGCCAATCCAATCCTAAGTTGTTTAACTTGAACCTCAATCTTAATCTTAAGGTTAAGAGTTTGAAAATTATAGACGAAAGTGAAGTGAACGAACGGAAGGAAGATGATGGAATGAAATCTCATGAGCTGTCTAATGGGGATATTAATAAATATAAGCTTGCAAGCCTTGCTATAGTTGTCATTCCCCATGGACGAAACCAAAGATTAATATCCTGCAACAGAGCAAGCACTTGTGATATCCTTTAAATGTTGAATACAAGACGTCACTACCGTATAGATCTCATCGCTTTGGATATGTCTCTTGTCTCCATTAACAAAAATATGAATCTTGTTCTTGATCTCAATCCAACTACTACCAGGGACTCTCTTCATTCGTTTCTCTCTCATTTCCCTTCTGATCATGGACACACTCTCCCACCTACCAGCGGCAGAATGAGCATTTGACAGCATGACATACGACGAGACGTCTTTAGGATCCAGGGCCAGTATCTTACGAGCTGCGAGTTCAGCCAATTCTGTATTAGAGTGGGTCTGGCAACCGCCAAGCAATGCTTTCCAAAACCCAACTCCCGGGTCGAAGGGAAGTTCCTCAAGGAACCTCTCTGCCTGGCGGAAACGCCCAGAGCGGGAGAGTAGATCAACCACACAGGCATAGTGTTCTGGTCTCAGAAGGCTAGGATCTTCCATCCTTACCAAGTTGAAATACGAATAACCTTCGTCAACAAGGCCTGCGTGGTTGCATGCCAACAAAAGACACAGGAGGGTGACACTGTTGGGTTTAAACCCCGAAGCTTTCATCCTTCGGAAACAGTCTATTGCTTCTTTCCCTCTCCCATTTTGTGCATAACCACAGATCAGAGAATTCCAAGAAATAATACTTCTTTGAGCAAGTCTGTCGAAAGCTAAAAGACTATCCTCCATGCTTCCACATTTGGCGTAGAAGTTGATAAGAGAATTACCCACAAACACATCGTGCTTACCCAGAGACTTGATAGCACAGGCGTGGAAGCTCTTGCCCATCCCAAGAGCAGCGATATTGGCAGCTGCACTTAAGACACAAGGAAAAGTCGATTCATTAGGACTCAGGCCTTCTCTAATCATCTCAACGAAAAGGTTTACGGCCTCTTCGCTGTGGCCCATCTGGCTATACCCGCCAATCACCGCATTCCATGACACCACATTTCTGTCCGGCATCTCCCGGAAATATCGGAGAGCATCCTCGAAGTTCTCATGCTTGAGGTATGCAGAGATCAAAGTTGTATAAGAAACCACATTGGGGTTGTCGATATCTTGGAAGGCTCTTTGAACTTCTTCGATTGTAGTCAATTTGGCATAGCTGTCAAGGAGCGAACTACCCACAAAGACATCTGAATGCAGACCCACCTTTGTCGCACAAGCATGAAGCTGCTTGGCTGTAGCGATATTCCCTGTGACAGTAGAGGAATGAATGACTGTGCCGAAAGTGAATCCATTGGGTCTGATGTTGAGGACAAGCATGCGAGAGAAAATATCAATTGCCTCCTTATGACGATTGTGCCGAGCAAAGCTACCAATTATAGAAGTGGCTGAAATTAGGTCCCATTGATACGTTTCGTCGAACAGCTGCCGAGCATACGAAAATGCCTTGGATTCACAATATGTGGCAACGAGGCCCGACTCGACAAGGTTTGAAGTTCCTAGTTTGAGGAGACGGGCGTGAGCTTGCTGGGCCTCAGCGGCAATATGGATTAAAGCTAAATTGTGGACACGCTGTCTATGTAATTTTCGAATGAAGGGCAAGATATTACTGGGCCTCGCCAAGCACATTGAGCAGCTTAGCGTCAGAGACCACCACCACCCACCCACCTTTCCTCGCTTGCTAAAAGGAGCGGGGCAACATGCCACCACACCACCAACACTGACTCCTGAGCCACAGCCTTTCTTTTCTTCGTTCTAATCTAAACCATACCACGTGGTCTATAATGAACTGGAGCGTAACGTTGTCCCCAATCTGAAGGACTATCATTATTATTGCTATTAATTTAATACAAGTATATAACCAAGTATTTTATTTAATGAGGAGCAGAAAGACAACGGGGTACCCTTGTAATGACTAATGACGAAAGTAACGGTGATTAAAAAAAAAAAAAAAAAGGAGGGCAGTTTTGTCTTTTCAACGAAGCGACCTGCTAGGTAGCAAAGGCATGTCTGATCGGACGGTTTGGATGTCAGTGGATGTTATAGCTCTAAAAGAACACGTAGTAAACGTACAAGCCAATGTGGGATTTGTGGTGACGTGGCCATCTGGCAGTGGGCCTGGCCGTTGTTTCTTTGGAGGGAGTGGTCGTTTTTTAGTTGAGAGTTGTGACCACGCCCAGAAGGTTGCCGCCAATTTCTTTCTTTCTTTCTTTATTTATTTAAAAAAAAAAAAATGTGTGAAGGCATGGAGAGTAAAAACCGCCACCACCCACAACAGACTAATTTAAATAAAAATTAAATGCCAGTTCTCTCTCGGTCTTAACTCTTTAAAGACTAAAAAGTAGGAATCAGCTCAGCAGAATGACCAGATCTTGGGAACTGAGAACTGGGAACATCAACACCACCACCACTACCACCATCGTTCATATCTCCAAACAGGGGAATTCTCTTTTTCGCTTTTTCAGTGGTGTGGGGACTCTGTTAAAAGTCGTTTACTCTCATTCTCAGTCTCAGACACACAGATAGAGTTCATCTTCTTTTCCCAACTTCAATATATCATCTCTTCTTCTCTCCCTCTCTCTCTCTGATTTCCCTTCACTTCTTTCGCCTCCTCTGAAGAGAATTTTAACTCCAGGTATGATTACTTCCCCTCTTTCACTACTTCCGTTGTTTTCATTTCAATCTTGGTGAATGACGAGATGGCTAGTTGTATTGGGTTATTTTCCCTCTGTGTTTTGAGTGTCCTTTGGGCTCGATCCGTCATAGCTTCCTTTGTCCCTGTAGACTGTTTTTTTATCGACTGTGGGGGAAATGAAACACGAAAGCTCGATGATGGTCGAACTTTTCAACCTGATTCCGGGAATTCGACCGTGGTTCTATCCCCAACTTCCCACATTGTGGCTTCAAAGAATGTAACGGGCCCATTGGGTTTATACGCTACTTGTCGGGTTTTTACAGAAACTTCCACCTATACCTTTACTGTTAAGAAAATTGGTCGCCACTGGTTACGGTTACACTTTTACCCGGTTGAGAACCCCGATTATAATTTGAAATCTGCAGTCTTCTCTGTCGTTGCAAATGGAATCACACTGCTTCACGAATTCTCTTTCGCCGCGATATCAGGCAAACGGTCATCACTTCTTAAGGAATTCATCATTGAAGTAGGTGGTTTGAGCTCGAACAAATTGGTGTTAACATTATCTCCGACCAACCGTTCAATCGCATTCCTTAATGGGATCGAGGTCATATCCCTTCCTGACAACCAGTTCCCCGAAACTGCTATCCCTATTCCAGTGGGTCCTGCGGTTGAGATCCAAACAAATGCAGCGTTTGAGACAGCTTTCAGGATAAACATGGGAGGCCCGCTCTTGACTCCTAGGAATGACACTTTATGGAGGATTTGGGAACCCGACCGGCCTTTCCTCCTCAGTCTTGCTTCTGCCCGTAATGTTTCTACAAACCCCAGTTCAGTCAAATATCCTGCTGGAGTATCGGTTGAAATTGCGCCCAACTGGGTCTATGCTACTGCAGAGGAAATGGCAGATGCAAATGTTGGTGATCAGAGATTTAACATCTCATGGGCGTTCAGAGTCGATTGTGGCTTCACATATTTCATTAGGATGCATTTTTGTGACATTGTCAGTGAAGCTTTGAATACTCTGGCCTTCAATGTCTACATTAACAATCAATCCGCTTTGAATTCTTTCGATATCTCAAGCAAGACAATGCAGCTATCATCCGCTTACTTTGTAGATTTTGTTGTGAATGTTTCAACGGGCTCAGACCAGATTTTGATTCAAATTGGTCCTTCCAATCTGAGGAATCTCCCGCCCAATGCAGTCCTCAATGGTTTGGAGATCATGAAAATTAGCAACCACAATAACAGCCTTGATGGGTCTTCCTATGCAGATTTTACTGGTTTCAAGGGCCCCATGAAGATGAACTTTATTGTGCTTACCGTTTTGTCATGTCTTGCAGGAATTACACTCTTACTGATCACCATAGCAGTTGTTTTGTGCCTATATCTCCGTCACCCAAAGAAGCCAAAGCAGCACCCACTAGCCTGGTTGCCACTTCCCACCCATGTGGGGAACTCAGAAACCAAGGTTTCAATTGGTAGTTTTGCCTCAACATCGCCTTCCCTTGGTCTAGGACGTGTACTAGCTTTTTCAGAAATACGTGAGGCAACGAAAAACTTCGATGAGAGCTTGGTTCTGGGTGTAGGAGGCTTTGGCAAGGTTTATAAAGGTGTGTTGGAGAATGGAGTTGTGGTTGCTGTGAAACGTGGCAACCCAAGATCCCAGCAAGGATTAGTAGAGTTCAGGACAGAAATAGAGATGCTCTCCAAGCTTCGCCATCGGCACCTAGTTTCACTTATAGGCTATTGTGAGGAGCTCAATGAGATGATCCTTGTATACGAGTTCATGGCTGGCGGTTCCCTCCGGAAACATCTTTATGGTTCAGATCTTCCCCCTCTTACATGGAAACAGAGGCTTGAGATTTGCATTGGAGCTGCCAAAGGTCTACACTACCTTCACACTGGAGCTTCCGAGAGTATCATCCATCGTGATGTCAAGACAGCGAACATTCTTCTCGATGAGAACCTAACTGCGAAGGTGGCAGATTTTGGCTTGTCGAAATTAGGTCCCACGCTAGACCAGACTCATGTAAGTACAGCTGTGAAGGGGAGCTTTGGGTATCTTGATCCAGAATATTTCCGCAGGCAGCAACTAACAGAGAAATCTGATGTGTATTCCTTTGGAGTGGTGTTAATGGAGGTATTGTGTGCCAGGCCAGCAATTAATCCAGCCCTGCCTAGGGAACAGGTTAACATAGCAGAGTGGGCCATGAACTGGCAAAAGAAAGGCCACCTTGAGCAGATAATTGATCCCCATCTTATGGGATCTGTTAACCTTGACTCTCTACGTAAGTTTGGTGAAACAGCACAGAAGTGCTTGGCAGACCATGGTGTTGAGAGGCCAACAATGGGAGATGTTCTATGGAATTTGGAGTATGCTCTTCAGCTTCAGGAGGCTTCTGCTCAGACTGTTGCAGATGAGAGCAGTACAAATTATATTCCGGATATACCAGAATGGACTCCCCCAATTGAATCTAGTGATTGTGAAAATGCAGACATTGTCAGTAACCAAGGGTCTGATGCAGCCACTACAAGTGCAGTGTTTTCACTGCTGATGAACCCAAAGGGTAGATAGTTTTCAGGGGTTAGTTTCCCGATCTCGATGTTAACAATTTTATGAGTGAACTATATGTATGTATGAAACAGCAGCCATGACAAGTAAAATATGATTGCAAGTTTGCAACTGATGAAACCATATTCGTAGGGGGAAATTCTCAATCCCCCTGTATTGCTTGACAATACTATCGTTTATTTTCTTTTTCTGTAACGCATATGCAATAAGGCTAAGGCTATCTATTTCATTGACAATATAGTTGCTGTGTCCATTTATATCGTTTACTTGCAGATATTTTTAATATATGTAATCTATTTCTTTAAATTTTAAGCTGCTATTGATACAGGGCACTTGTTCTCATAAGTTTTGTGTGCATGTGTGCGTGTGTGTCATCAATCACTATCTATTCTCATGCATTGCACGGGGTTATTGCTGGCAGCATCAAAGTTAAATAAGACCTAAGAGTATTTTTAGAAAAAAAAAAAAAACCCATTTATTTTTCCTCTTTGATCAAACAGGAATTTTTCTTACCTTTTTCCATTGTTTAACCACACACCAGACAAGTATCCTTCCCCTGCCTTGTTTTCTTTTGAACAAAACGCACCCTACAGATCTAGAAAGAAGAATAAGTAGTGCCGAAGTCATCAAAATCATCTCATTTAAATCCAGAAAACAAAAGAGTGTTCCATTTACACCATGGAGAGTTTAAATCTGTATACAAAAAGGGAAAAAACATTTATCGGTTTCATTGGAATCTTTGGCGCTTGTTAGACAAGATTTTGTTGTGCAAGGAATCCCAACCAATGCCAGTGCATAGCTGCGCCTTGTTAAGACATGAACCAGAACCACTTGGAACACTCAATGTAGAGGTAGTGCAGATCTGAGCTGACACATCTATGTATGAAGAACTGAAAGAAGTTTGAACATTATAATTTGGATTGGCATCTGGAGCCCGATTAATTGTTTCAGGATCACACCCTTTAATGGAAACGGGTGGGATATTTAAGGGCTGAAGAGGGGGAGGATTTCGCCACTGAGGTAGAGGACCTGCCACGATAAGTGTTTGAAGCAGTGGTCCTGCTTCTGTTACAGCCTGCAAGAGTCTCCCCTTTTGGGGAAGCTGCTTTCCCTTAACCAGATTATCAATTACCAGAGAAGCCCGATCCACCTCTGTTGAACCTTTAGACACGATACCACTATTTCCAGCAGATAAAATATCCATGGGGATTAACTTATTACATTCTTGGACAAAGGGATGATGTTGCACGCCAGTGTTACTTGAATCAGCAATGTTCATGTTTGTGAGCTCAGATGATGAAATTGCATCAATGAAGGAATCAACAGGGGAGGAACCATGGGAGTGGCGATTGAATGTTTCAGAGAGACTATCAGACTCGGTAACGCTTGAATTTGCCATCTTTGGTTGCAAACGAGGACTCTCAGGCTGAACACATGGGAAAACAGTGCAGATTTCAGTTGGACCTAATGGCAAGGCATTGTTAAGTAGTCTCTGCAACTGATCTTTTGCTTCATCTCTTTCCTGGCAAGCTACCTTCAGGAGATCAAGCAACTGCTTTACATACTCCTCGCTTTTTCTCATCACCTCCTGTGCATTCATCCTGGTTGATTCTAGTTCAATGGTTGTGTAGTGAAGCTTATGCTTGAGGTCATCCATACTCTGTTGGGGTGCAACGTTTTAGTAATAACATTAAGTGTCAAATTAATTGGCAGAAAATTCATAGAAAAGGGAGGCAGTTGTTATTTGTTAATCAAACAGTGAGTGCAAACAGAGCATGCATTTACTTCCAAATGCACCAAATCAAAGATGAAACAAAATATGGAAAGAAATTTTCGTTCACAAGCCACAAAGGAACATGATGATATATCAATAGTCAGGACCATTTTTTTCTCTTCCTGGAAATACAGCTAGCAACAAAGTTCTTATAATGGGTAACTGATACAGTCATGTTCCTACAATGAAGTTTATTATTTACAAGGAAAACCAAAGTTGCAGAAAGTACAAGTCTTAGCAGAATTTAATAAAAAATGGAAATAAGCCTAAATGGGGCCATAAACATCCAAAAAAGCGTTTTCGTCAAACAATAGTTTCTATATATTCTCCGATTGAGTCGGAAATAATACGGGCATGTTGAAATCCTCAGAAAATGCCAGAATTATCATAATTTCCCATCAATATCAACAAGTTCAATCTCCAAAATTCAACTGGAGCATGCGTTCTGAAGCAAGAAGGTAAACAAAATGCAATTAGTGGACCCATATGAACGAGCTTTCTATTTTCCATTGAATGGACGTTGAAGAAAACCTCTTAAGTGATTAAAAAGGAAGAAAAAAAATATCCTATGATCATCGACAAGCTACAACTAATTATTAGACCAGGATACTAAACCCAGCTAGACTGAACGACAAAGCTGAGTAACAAGGAGAGACACACACTCAGCGTTTCTTGGTTCTGTTCTGCATGTATCTCAAAAGAGAACAGACGCACTAGAAGCAAGAAAACAAAGACCTTGGAGTGGAAAAAAAAATTGTTACATCCAAACATTTAAATTTGCAACTTAAACGGCGAAGAACTCAAAGATTTCCATGACTACCAACGGTTAGACTTAAAGAAGGAGATGCAGTTTCGAAAAAGTCTAAAATAAAATCTTTCATCTGGAAATTAAATGGTTTGAATGCTTCTTAAAGCACCATAAATTCAAGTGAATTCAATTTGAAAATTCTACATTGGACCTTTTAACTTAACATGTCAAAACTGAAAGAGGAAATAAGCAGCAGGAGAAACAAAATGAAATGAAGCAAGAACAAGGATAAGAGGGGAGCTAATAAGCAAAATGTTTCTTTGATAGATCCGTAGTGATAAACCCAGCAAAAGGCAAGACCCAAAACGATAAATGGCATGAATCATACCTCTTGATAATTCCAAACAGAGGCAATTCCATCCATCTCTCGCTCGCTCGCTCTCTGGTTCTCTCCTTTCTGTGTATAAGTAGTAATTATGGTGGAAGAAGAGTTCTGAGTATATTTATTTATAGAACAAAATAGGCCTTTTTATAATGTGGGGGAGAGCTGTCGACTTGACGAATTTCCAGAAACCCAATCCACATCAGAGAAAATTAGGAATGTAAAACCTTCCAATCATACAAAACAAGAAAAATGAAGTCATTTTTATTGTCAGTAAAAAATCCTCCGCCCTTTCAGGGCGTGTGTCATTTTGAGAGAAGAAATCTCTCTCTCTCTCTCTCTCTCTCTCTCTCTCACTGTGTGTCTCATCGGCAATCCAGTTAAGATTTTCCTTATACAGGACAAAACCGTTGGTTTCCATTTTATGTTCATACTTTCCGGCATCGTCTTGCCTTTTATGTCTTATGTGTGCATGGAAGAGGTAAACGCGTTTTGCTTAAAAAATGTGTTTCTAAAACTGCCCTTTTTCAAAAAGTTTCCACAACGCATTTCCCTCTGTAGCTGTCAATGGATCGGCTAATCGGCTCTGGTTTGGGACAGGTCGAACCAATTCTGAACCGACTATTAATCAGTTCCACCCAGATCCAGAGTGGGCTACACAAGAGGGTTGTTCGTCTCCGAATTTGCGTTGGCTCCCAACTGAATGCGCCTCACAGCACTTTACAACCATATATTGTGAACATATCCGTACTTGATGTTCCCAATGCACACTGAGATGTGCGTGTGGGGAGCCGATCTGAACTGTTCATCATCAGTTGATTAATCAATTTCATATGACAGACCCAAAATCGTCCAATTTATTAATTGGGACAATCAGGCCTGACCCAATTATACTTACGAATTATATTTAATTGTGATAACAACAATTTAAAACTTAGATAATGCATTCTTAATAAAAATGATCATGTTGATAAGACAAGTGTTTTAACCAAATTATCTTACATATAATCCATTAAATTTACCTTTTCAGACCTCAATTAATTATAACAAAATTTTCAAAAAATAATCTCTAGAGGCCTTTATATATTATTAACAATTGTGTCATTTGGAGGTCTTTTTTGAAAGGCCTAACATTTAAAAGACGTAGTAGATGTTTATATAAAGATCTTGACAGTCCATAAATCATTTGGTTAGAGGTGCATCTTTTTATATAAAGATAAAACGAAAAAAGTGGAAAAGCTCTATTTGAAATTTCTCGAAAATAGTCTGAAATGGGCTTTTCATATCTTTTTAGGACAGAGTCTTTTAGTGGCTAAATCTTCTCCCAACCAAATAGAAAAAGACGAAAATGCAAACTATCAAATTTTTAAGCAGCCGACAATCCACACAGAAACATGTACTAAACAGGGCCAATATAATTAGTTCGAATCTACATTGGTTCGAAACAACAAAAAAGAAAAAAAAAAATAGTCCTGAACCAATTAATTAATTGAGACAAAAGCATAGAACCAGAAGCAACTTATAGGCCCGACGCATTGTCAGCTTCATTTCCCTCCAAAATATAATTGTGGAATTGTGCATCAGTGTTACAGTAACCCGTTTGATGAAAACGTTCAATCATGGGTGATGATGTGATTTATCATCTTTTGTGTGCTCACTATTTGGTGTTTAATTAGCATGCATATGGATGTGTAAGTGGACAATAATTCATTCAACCTTTTTCTAGCCTGTTTGATTTTTGAATGCTGAACCATTGAAGAGGGAAATGCTGAGAGCAAAGCTGGAATTAATTAGATTCTATTGTTGAATTATAATCTGGGCTGGTCCAGTTGTTGACTTAGTAGCACCTATCAAACGAGCAAGGGCACTTTGGCCAATAAGAAAGCCTAGCTAATGTTGTTCTTCTGTCCCTTTCCATTTTCATTGACCAACATGTACGAGTTAGAAAAATCTAGAATGAATTCAAAATTCAAGAGGGACTAGCGTTGCCCATGTGGCTAAAGTGGAGTATAGTACGACCCATTTGCGGCCACTTTGGTGAAAGAAAATATGAAGCGAGATCAGTTCCTCATAATGGGCGTCTCACAGGCACATCCACCGTGAATTAGAACCATTTTTCATAAATAATAATTAATAAGTATAGGAGATGTTCTCGATACATGGCAGGATGTGTATGCGAGGCACCAGGTGTGAGGAGCAGATCAGGTCTCAAAAATATGTATATATATCCATATCTAGACTTCTACCGTATATTTACTAATATATATTTTTCATTAGTTTATATTCACATTCAATCGATTACATCTTTTATTGTACAATGCAATAAATGCAGTATAGATGTTGTCTCATATTTATTTATATTTATATCTATATCAATACTATATAATGCCAATATTTGCCTAGATTTTCACACAAGTTAATTCAGAGTTTCACATCCTATAAGATTAAAACTTGCATTTCAGTTTATATTAATTATATATCATTTTAGGATATAATGTTAGTTTTACTTGACTTTCATCTATCTTCTCCAACATTAATTTTCCCTACATTCATAATTGAACACCAACAACACATCCCAATTGTCATATAAAAAGAGGACCCATGAAGGAGGTTTTATTATTTTGCCACTTGGGCAAAGTTGCATTTGTCTCAACCCTTTGATGGAAGAGTTGGCAGCATCAAATCAAACCACGTATATGAACCCTCTACTCTGTATAAGCTTATATACAAAAGCTAGCTAATATAACTAGATGACAAGCAAATGGGTGAATTGATGATGGACCTAACTAAGTAATTATATTTATATGTCTAATCCCGAGAGTAGGATTAGGATTAGGATTCCTTAAATTAGGAGAAGTATTCCTTTCATATATCATAATAATTAAATACGTCGAAATTGATCTTGATTCTAATATTAATTGTTTTCCAGTGAACTGCCCAAGAAAACTAATTAACCAGAGACACACCACCCTTATTCCTGTAGGCTTGACCCATAATTATCTTCAATGTTACTTTCTCCATTCCTATTATTTGTAGCTAGGTTTGTAGGTGTCCTTTAAAAGGAATAATGCCGGATGAAGCCTGTGTCATTGCTCGACAAGAAAAACTGAAGAAAAAGAAATCATTCAAGTCTATGGATGCAGAAATTAAATTAAAACTAATCTGATGATGATCAAGGAAACTCAATCGAATATTTCTTTAATTGTTTATTCCCCGACAAGTGGCTTCCCCACTCAACTGCCTCATATCATAACGTTCGTATTTCCATTTTGTTTTTCCTTAGTTAACAACTAATTTACTATTTAATGATTATTAAGAAAAATTGCAAAGTTGTATGTCCCATGCATGGACGAGAAACAGACATGCAAGGTTGGTGGATATTGAAACTCTAATTTTAATTATTGGGTCTATATTCTCTCACTGCCTCTAATATTATTGCATTTGACTGTTCATTAGGACCTTAGCTGTTAGCTGACTCCTTGACACTATCATCTCTCTGTCTGATTTGACCCATTAATCATCATCAAGATTTAAAAAAAAAGAGCAAGAAATACCGTCCACCCACAACCACAAGACAAAAATTCTACATTTTGAAATGGAGTAACCCAACCCCGTTGTGTTCGCCTTTTCAAAACAGAGAAATGGTCCAGAAAAGGCGAAACTCTTCTCGATCGCTTCACTCCAAAATCCAATAGAAAGATCAAAGATCGATGTTGCTCAAAAAAGTTAAAATAAGTTGAGTAGATACATAATACCTAATCATAAGAGTAAGCATATTATTTGGATGATAAACAAATTACAGACAAAAGTAAATAAGACCATGATTAATTGATTACTAAAAACAAATACAGAGAAGAGAAGAAAAAAAATCGTAATATCTTATCATAATGAATTGTGAGTCGTCATTGGGCGGTGGGGTGGCACGAGTGCATACATCCCTCAGGGTCCCTCCCACCCAGGGAATCTAGACCAGGTCTAACAATTAAGAAAATTTATGTTATGGGATGTTTTATTTATTCATGGAGTATGAGGCGTCCCTATTATTGCATGAGATAAGACTTAAGAGACGGAGAAGAAGCGGAGTGAGAAAGAGTTGAGACTTTTGTTTTAGGAAGTTTGTCGTGGTGTAGATGGGAAGTATCAGCAGCAGCCCGGGCGGTTGTCTTATAGCGCGCATTGCACAATGCACATGGGAGTTTAGGTAGCGGTCATTCTATTACTCACACGTCTCCACACTCCGAGTCTCAATAGTCAATCACGTTCTATGCGTGATCTTCACTATAAGACACTGTGTGGCGCGCGAACCCCGCAACATCCTGAGGCACATTACAATATTCACATTCTCTCATTTCTACGCTCACTGCTCACCTGCCCTCATCAGTCCTCCGCCCAAGTCCCTCCTGTACTTGTGTTAGGGGATTTATGGGTTCAAGTGTTCAACCCACATTTCTTAATGAACAACGTTTTATAAAACAATTTGGAAATGGAACCGTTCTTGTCATTGGTTTTTGGGTTGATGACCCGATCGTCTGATTCGAATAGATGGTTCGTTCTAACAATAAAATTAAAAAAACTAAAAAAAGTCAAAAATCATTGAATGGATCGATAGTTTAATTGCCCAGATCAACGATTTGTTAACTTTTTCAATAGTTTTTTACTAGATTCCGAGTTTTGAGTAAAACAGAACCGGTTGTATGAACGATTCCCGGGCCAAACGGTCCAACTGTCCAAATCAACAACGATTCAAAGGCGTTGGTTATGACATTGCCATAGCCCAAAATCCCCAAACAAGTAAAACCAAAGCCTTTGATTTGCCGTCATGGCCCCACCTTGAATTAAATGGATCTATTTCTTGATGAGGCCACTGCAATAAACCAAAGGTCATGATTTTCTGTTTTAGCCATGCGCTGCAACAAGTTAGCTCTTATGGGTTTGGGTGTAATTTCATGAAACGAGTTAAAAGAATATATATATATCATTACGCGGAAATCAGATTTGGTACTTACCATCTCAATCTCACAGGCCTTTGAATAATAACATAAAGTATGAAAAATATTTTTAATGCAGGGATGAAGAGGATGTAAGAATGGTGTGAGT